GGAATAATAATGTATAAAATGATGATTTAAAGCTTGTCATAAGAGAAAGGAGTTGAAATAGTAATTTGACAAGAAAGTTCTTAAAACTTCATTAGGCCTTTTCTAGAGTTTGAAAGCAAGACACTATTTCTATTTTTAATGTTAATTTAAAATTCCATTACACCCACAATTTTCAGTTTACAGAGCCATCATTCTCATTGGGTAGGCACAAGATATTACTGAAAACTCAGCTTCCCTAAAATGTTTGCTTTTCTTAGGAAAGTGGTAGTTGATTTAAGTGTGATTGTATTTAACTACTTTTGATAACGTGGTCCCTGGAAGCAGTACTTCTGGAGGGGCGGAAAAATTAACCAGCAGGCTCTATCTGAACTACAGTGTACACAGAAAGGCAGTTGCCACACATGAACCCATGAGTGCCATCCCACTTGAGGTTAGATTCTCCCTAGTCCTTTGCTCAAACCAAAGTTCTGGTTCAAGGACATTGCTGGGCTGGCATGTGGCTCAGAGGTAGAGCACCTGCCTGGCACGGCAAGACCTTGAGTTCAGTTCATAGGAATGAAAGAAAGAAAAAAATGTAAATAAAAGAAAAAGGGCAGAAATCTGTAGTCAGGTAACTGTGGGTTAACGTAGATGGCATGTCACCACCTTAGGTGTCATCAGTGTTCCCTTCCCTGTTCTTGGCACTCTCTTCCTATCCGCGCATCTACTGCCCTAGTTCAGAAATGCCTTGCTTTTCTCTGCTTCTCATAGTTCTCCTCATGGAGCTGGTTGATAAAGACAATTCAGCTAGTGGCACACTGGAGCCAAATGTTATCAGCTTGTGAGAGGTAACTGCTAAATAGGAATTTTGCAAGCCATTTTTTGGTAGCTTTGGTAGCTTAAAACCAGTCAGGGAGGAAACATTTATAACACGGAACTTGGCACACTTTGTTCACACCCCTTCCCTTCTTGGTCCTCATGAAAGCTGGCATATCTGTATACCATTAGGTACTATATTCGCCAGGGGTCTTGCATTCTCAATAGGTACTCCTGAAAACCTTACAGATTCAACATGGATTTCTATGGCTGGATTCCCCTAACAGGAATAAACTGTATATAAAAATCATTAGAGGCACTGCTAAAGGGTTACCACATAGGTAAACAGCTGATCACTGTGGTAAAGGCCAAGTCTATGTATACACCACCAGGAAATAGGGCAAGGTGTTGTAAAAGTTCACTGTTTCTGGGACAAGAAGATGACCAAAGATATATACAGGTGTGACAAAGGTCGAATCATTCTACAACAGTAACCCACTGAATCAGACTTTCAGAGTTACTGACCAAAACAAAGAATGAAGCACACAATGTGCAAGGCTTCTCTAGAAAAACGGATGAGGAACTGTGAACCACTAAAAGATCTGGAGATAATGGCTTGTATGCTGGAGAAAAGTTAAATCTAAATTTATGAGTACCAATTAATCTGAAAATAGGCCTCAGCATCCAACTGAAATCTCAAAAATGAGGAACTGCTGAGCTAGTGGCTAGAAAAGGCCAACATTAGATACCTATATACATCCAAACTACATTTATTCATAATACTAGAATATTTTCCTCAAAAGGGGAAGGAGTTATGGCATTTCTACTTTTAAAATGTTAGTTTAAAAATGAATTGAATGCAAATTAGTTATTTCTTTCATGCATTTCTTGTTAAAATTTTTTATGCTTTTTTTTTGTCTTTTTGGGACATGGTCTCTCTGTAGCCCCACCTGACCCGGAACTCGCTAGGTAGACCAGGCTGGCCTTGAACTCACAGAGATCCACTTGCCTCTGCTTCCTGAGTGTGAGTGCTGGGATTAAAGGCCTGTGTCACCACATCCAGCTTTTATGCCTTTTTTAAAAATGCATCTCTCTTTGACGGTGTGCCTACTGTGTGTCAAGTAGTGTCCTAAGGACAAGGACACATAGGTTCTAGTCCCAAATTATGTCTCAGAAGACTCTATTCATTTTAGAGTTTATGGTTAAGTAAGTGCTATTCAAAGGCCTCAAAGAGATTCAACAGAAACATGTGGAAAAATCTGCTTTCTGATTTTCTTGCTGTATTTAGAAAATGACATTTGAAAACTACAATCATTCAGCCTTTTCTCACAAGATCAGTCAGCAACAGCCTTTTAGAGAAGATGATGTGATTTTTGAGGAAAATGATAGTATAGCTTTAATAGTATTCTTTGGAGGAATACAAATGTAATAAATTAAAAATATACTTTTTAAAGAACACCATGAAATATAGCTAGATAAGTTTTGGCTTATAATTAACCCATGCTTCTGAAAATATGAAGTCTACAAGTAATAAATATGGATACTAGGGACTGCAATAGCTGTAGTAATACTTTGAATTTGTTGTTATAGTTGTTCACTATAGGAAAAACACAAAGAGTATCAAATTAATGAACACATTTTATACGCAGAGCTCAGTAAGTACTCCCTTGCAAGTTTTCTCATTTCAAAAAACATCAAAGAATTCATTAACAAAATTCACATAAGCATAACTTCAAAGATAATTTGCTAGATAGCTGAAAAAGCTAAGGGGTAAAGGACTGCAGAGCATGTAACTTTACTGCATGTCTAAGGAAGTGCACTTGCTAGTATGCAGCAGGATCAAGAAAAGATGGGCGTCAGTCTGAGGCAGATGGCTTGCCAGACTGTTTGCCCGCCTTCACTTCTGACCTAAAGGAACATCTTCTACACAACAAGAGCCATACACGACAGGACTGTGGAAGCCTTCCCAGTGGGTTTGTGGGACTGATTCCAAAGTGGTCCAGTGCAAAAGTGTCATTCACTCTCAATAACATGCAGTATGCCCATACGGCCACTAGATGGAGATCAGATTATTCCACCAGTGACAGTGAAGGCTGCTTGCTGCCATGAACATAAATAGGGTGTCAAGAACTTGTTATCTTTTTTCACTACTTTTGTAAGAGGGATTGTCCAAGTTCCAAAATCAGGAGCAGAACTCCTCTGAGTAGAGTCCATGAATGAGGTGCCTTGAAGGGTGGACTAGGAAGGGACTATAGAAGACAAGTATGATGTTAATGGGAATGAAGTCTATTTAGATTTGGTTGTACAATCTACTCATGATTGACAATGTGACTGGGCCTAAATAAGAGCAATTAAGTAGACTGCCTCATTATTTTCCAAGAGATTTGACAAAAAGTTCAAACAATGGCAGACTATTTGGGTAATTCATCTTGTCCAATTAACATAAAGATGCATACTAACAATTTGTTTTTCTGTTTGAGTGTGCACGTAAGTACGCATGTGAGCATGCCTGTTTAATATCATCCACACAGACCAAGGAATAACAGAGGTCAAAGGAGAATGTTAGTTAGCATCTCACTTTCCAAATCAAAGTATCATTTAGTTCTGAACTTTATTACTTTATTTCTAAAATACTCTTATTTCTGTTTTCTGACTTCTGAGCTGTTATCTGAACTTTGAGCTGAAGATATAAAGTTACATATTTTCTAAAAAATGTCTGATTTAGGAAAGTTCATATACTTCCTGTGTCCTTCCCTTTCTCCTCACCCCACTTCCTTTTCCTTCCTTTTTAAAACTTTTGGTTTGGATTTTTGAGACAGACTTGCTATAAGGTCCAGATTGTTGTAGCATTCATTATGTAACTCAAGCTGGCCTTGAGTTTATAATCCTCCTAGCTCATCATCCCAAAATCTTGGTCATAGGAAAAAACATGACCTTTGATCTCTACATTATATGAGAAATTCAAATAAAATGTATGAAATTCAAACACAGTAGTGTTTATTGCTAGGCATCAATGAAGACAGAATAGTGAAAGAAGCTTCATTCAAAGAGAAGAAACTATTGTTTGGAATAATAAAATAGACTATTATCTCATCAGTTTTCTAGGCATTGTTAAGGATACTAGATGGATATGGATTAATCTGTTCCTATAATAGATCTATTGTACTTAATGACACGCTTTTACAGCACTATATTTTCTTTAACTTGAATAAATTAATGTATTTATATTCCTTCAAAACTATTTGAGGTTGCTACTCTGTTTTGAGATTTTCAAAACATTCCTATAAGCTTTTAAGGAACTAAGAGACAAACTTATTATTCATTCATAAATATACCTCTTTTAAGAAAAAAAAATCACATAAAACAGCGTGTATTAATTATTGATGGAATTGGAAGTGAAAATGTCTTGCCTCATTGGTTGGCTGTAAGAATTGACCTTCTTATTTATTTTTTATTTTTATATTTTGAAGCCTACCTTTCTTTTTGCTACACAAGAATAATATGTAAAAAGAAAAGCTATTTCTGAAGATTAAAATCAATTGAAAGTTGATCCTTTTATTACACTTAGTATAAATGAGTGTGGCCTTCTTCATTCTTCTAATTAGGCCCACACAGCACCTAGAACAGGTGCTGAGTGAGTCATCTGTGAGTTGCAGGTTTCCTTTCACTTTGGAGGGCTGTTCCTGTATTTCTCTCCCACTCAGGATTGCGCCTACTCACTGTGACTGCTAAGTTTGCATGGACTAGAAATAGGTTGCTGGGATAAACTCTATTGGATGCACACTTTGCTGACCTTCTCTAGTCTAGAGGTTTGAGCTATAGAGGAATCAGCTGTACATTACATCCCCAATGTTTCTGTTTCCTAGGCAGCATGCAGTGATGCCAACAGCTGTGCCGATGGAAGCTAGAACAGATGCAGAAAACTAGATGCTTACAACTAAAGACAAGCTGTAGACATATATTGTGATGTTGAGAACTTGTGTGTGTAACCATTGACAGAAAACTAAGGCACATTTTTACTTTGTCATTATCTGGTGAATAGATTTGTCTTTTTTTCTATTATGAGTCTAAAAATGATTTTTTAGCTACTTAAGCAACCATATTGCAGTGGTTAAGCCAGAAGTTTCCCCAAAAATGACATTTAAAACTAAATTTACTTATACCCAAAGGTGCACCCCCAAAGGAAAAGTCAATTCAAGTGATACCTGCATATATTTGTCACTGTCTTGCCCAATCATGTTTCTCCATTCCACGAGTGATTGCTGCAGACGTTCAAGTCCAGTTTCCCAAAGCCGGACACGACCTCCCATGTCAACTGTCACAATGCCGCTTTTGTCCCACTCAGCCACCAGAGCATCTGTGTCCGAAATATCAGCTATCCATGCAGTATATGGCGAGAGAGTTTCTGAACTGAAAAAGGAAGCCAAAGTGAAGATCAGAACCCAAACACAGCAAGCAGGAGGGTGATACCTTCATGTGTACTGTTTCTCTCCCATGGAAAAGTATGTTCTTTTGGCTTTGGGGGGCTGTTGCTATCTCTTTCTCCAGTGCAAGGCTGCACTGCTTCCTACGCGCTCTTACCTCCTCAAGCACATGAATGTCATGAGGATACGTGCAGTGAGGGAAGGTGAGAGGTAAGGACATACTGAATTTGTCAACATGAGGCCAGACAATAATATAAAAACAAAGACAATTTTTTTTTAGACTGGGTCTTAGCCTTGTTATATAGTCTAGGCTGGCCTCAAACTTGTCTCAAATTCATGAAATCAATATTTTATGTGTACATTTCAACTGTATTTGTAATTTGATTTTTTTAAAAAAGGATTTTTTTTAATTAAAAGAAGAATTTCATTACAGCAGCATTAACCTATTCAATAACATTTTTCTGAGCTAGGGTACATCTCTTTCAAAATTGGCTGTACATTTCTATGTTTACAGATGAATTATTACGCTTATATAATCTTTTACTCATTATAAACTCTATAAGACATAAAATTAAATAAGGTTCCAACGTTTAAAAAAGATCTCCACTTCGTTGTCAAAACACACAGTTTCATACAGAAAAATTCATTCCAGGGCTCTTGACATTGAGAAGTTTTCACATGCATTTCCAATCTCTATATACATGACTATCACTGGTCACAGTCACCCACCTTCTGAGCTCCTCGGCATCTGAGCATGAATACAAACTCGTCAGGTAGACAGCCTTCCTCTCCCACTAGAGCCTCCATAC